AATTACAAATAGAGATTACTATTAATGTAAATTTAGAAAGCTAGGGATAAAGAAGAGTGCTGGCTTGTTGTACCAAATTGCAGGATGATCTGAGAGTGTTCGTCCTTTACTCAGCCAGGGGTTTGGAACTTCATTCAGTGTCTCTTTTGTCAAACTAAACTTTATGCATATGTTTATGTCCCCTAGAAGCTTAGGCCACTTTAATATTTCAGACTTGTCAGTTTTGATATCTGCTAGACTGGGCTAATTCAGTTACAGGAGAGTCCACAGTGCAACAGTTTATCCAACATTTCCAAATGCTGATTTCAAAGCATGTCCAAAGCCTTCTTAGCACAAATTGTGTCTATGGAACTGGTGTCTCCGCATTAGATACCAAATTCCATGTTAGTCTACTGTTTGTAATCAGTCAAAAAACTAAATTTATGGATTTCCATTGTCATATGTGCAATACAGAAATCTGTTCCCAACTAAAAACCTGTGGGAATTATGATTCTTTAGTTGCAATCTGAAAGGATCAAACCATTTTGGGAAAAAAAAAATAATAAAAAAAAATAAAAGGAATCATTCCGTCTTAAGCAGTTAGGCACACAATAGAGTTACCTCTAAAAACATGGTAATAAAACACTGTTCTTACATCAACGATCTCAAAGCCAGCAATGTCCAGGACACCAACGAAGTACTGTCTTGGTTGCTTGGTATCCAGCTGTTGGTTGAAGCGAATAACCATCCACAAGAACATCTTCTCAAAGACAGCCTTTGCTAAGGCACCTACTGAATTGTATACCTAAAACAAAAACCAGAAGGCTTGTAGTTATCATGCAGAGCAAAAGAGGAAGTCCAGAGATCTGTCAACAAAACAGGGATTTTTGTTACCTGCTGCACAGTTTGACCCTTGGTCACGTATTCATTCCCAACCTTGACTCGGGGGTAGCAGAGGGCCTTAAGCAGGTCAGCTGAGTTCAGACCCATGAGGTAGGCAGCCTTGTCAGCCACTAAAGATCAAAAAAATCAGTTGTTAAGGTACTAGCAGGCATTAGTGTTCCTTTAAAACAAGTATCAAAAGGCAATTCTAGTAAAGATAACAAAAGTAGTTAAGACAAAAAAGTAAGGTTTTTGTAGTTCATCATAAGCAACATTGCCCAGTAATTATGAAGCATTTATTTTGGCTATTTTTTCTTCACTTATTCTTAGTTTATTTTGAGTTTTGAATGAAATTTCAGTTTAGAGACATTTAGGTAGGCAGACTTCTCAGTAATAAATGCTGAAAAGAAAACATAAGCCTGGGATGATCATCAGGCAGCAGTCAATTACAGAGCCTCTCAGGCAAATACAGTGCAATTTGTTTCAGTGACTTGTGGTAGGGAAACTTTAAACTCAAGAGAGCACAATGCATAAGTGTAAATTATGCCTTAACGAATCTATGGCTAAATTTATGAGTTGAAGTGTTATTTTTAGAAGAGCATCCTCAAACAAAAAGCTTAGCATTTTACCTTCTGCTATTGCTTTTACTACTGAATTCAAACTCTGCCAGCAGGCACAGTATACAAAATTATTTGTTCAAGAACGCTTATTTAATTCATATGGAATCATGACAAAAAAGTATAGCGGATTGCTGCATGAATATTAGACATGATCTAACAGTCTGAAATTGTGTCAAGAGATATTTAGGCTAGAAATCAGGGAAAAAATTCCAATGAGTAAGGATAGTGAAGTACTGGAATAGATAAAGAAAGAAAGATTGCACAGTGAATGGAGTCCACAGGAGGTAGAGAAGATGAAGTGCCACAGTCCTCTCCCAGCTTTATGAGCAAATAAAATTAGCAAAAAGAAGATGACTTTGCCACACTGAGAAATTTGTTCACAGGTTCAGAGTAATCCTCAGAAGAGGATAACAGAGTCAGTGCAACAGAACTGATTTCAATGGAATCAGTGTTAATGTACACTGCTCCAAATGTTTCCAAGATTTGGTCAGCAAAATACCATCACTTAAGTAAAGTTACAGTATTATTTGTAGCCTGTTCTACTATTAGTATTCATCATTATCAGATTCCTTGCAGTTGTATTCCTTGCAGTCATTTTCATTTATGTCTTAACTATCCTAAAAAAAACAAAACCACACACACACACAAAAACAGCTCCAGAAAAAAAGCCCGTAATAGTACAAGTTTATGATAGATGCGACTAACTGGTTTCATGGAAATAATTCCATGAGCTTTTAAAGGAATGCATGTTTGAACAATTCTAGGCAAAGCAAATGCAATAGACATATCTTAGATGTCTATTTTTCAAACAGAAGTCCTGGAGATATGCTGAGACTCTACAGAAAATGTAGAACATAAGAGCCACAGCTGCAGTATTAATTGATGCTCCTTTTTACCCCCCCATGCAAAATGAAGTAGAACAATGCTCTCAGTTCAGGCATTATGAGTTGTCTCCAGAATACGGGCTTGGAAGCAGAGCAGCTTCAGGATTCTGGCTTCTTGTCACCTGGAAACAATACCATTAGGAGGTGGCTACAGCTGATGGTAAATGGTAGTAGCTACCTGGGTACATAAACTTAAGTCAGTGGGCAGAGTGGCTCCCGGTTCTGTCCCAGGTCTGGGAAGCTGCCATTCAGTATAGCAGTGCCTTAGGATTCACTGGACCTTATACTTGACATAGTTCAAAATAATCTGCATTTTCCACTGGGTTGTGTTCTTCCAGCAAAGTCCTCTGGTTAGGACACACTTATATTCTACAACACTAGCATCTGGAGAAATGTGCAGGCTGAATCAATGATTCTGACCCTGAATTACTGCCTGTATTAGTGAGCGTTCCGGTGTATACTGCGCTCTGGTATATATCGCGCTGGTACCTTCTGTGCCATCCGGTTCTGCCTGCTCCTCACGCTGCTTCTGCTTAAACTTCAGGTTGCCATAGTGCATGACAGCCCCTGTCAGCTTGTAAATGGCTGTCTTCTCATCTGGAGTGAAGCCCAGGATGTCAATGGCACTCTGATAAAAGAATCATTGGAGTAAGTACCATGCCTGTTAAAGGTCAGAGTCCGCCTAAGAAAACTTCTGTGCTGTACTTACATCCGTGGCCATCAGCTCTTCCTGGTCGTTAATGCTGGGAACCGTGATCTCACCTTGACTCACATACTGATAGTCATACGGGTTGGTGGTGATCAGTAACATCTCTGAAAAGAAGGACAAAACACATAGAGATCAAATGTAATTGGCACGTAAAGGAATTAAATGTTGTTCCGTGACCTTTGTCTGGAGAAGTTAGTGATCTTTCCTACCAATTAGCTCCGGCTTCTTGTTGGACATGATCTGATAGAATATGTGGTAGCTTCTTTCTGCCTTGAGCTGGAAAGTGACTCTGGACTTCTCCAGAAGATCTAGCAAGGATGGTAGGACAGAGTTAGCACAAGAACTGAGGAAGGCTGGAAGGAAAGGGGTCAGGCCAGGAGGGTCACTTACATGTTTCAATGTCAGCAGAAGCCAGTTTGCCCGTGGCACCAAAATGGATTCTGATGAATTTACCCTGAAAGAAGCAGGAAAGTAATTCAAGATCTATTTTACCAGTCCTGACTGCAAGAATATTTGAGTCAGTCTGCTGATACAAAAAAAGTAATTTTGTCCCAGACAACAACTTACAAAGCGTGAGGAGTTGTCGTTCCTCACCGTCTTGGCATTACCAAAAGCCTCCAGCAGTGGGTTGGCACTGATGATTTGATCCTCAAGTGTCCCCTAAACCAGAAATCTTATAATCATGATATAGCTCATAAGTAAATCTGACAGTTGCAGGTTCCTACCCCTAGGACCTCACCTGCATTTTGCCAGCCTGCTGCTCTTCCTTCTTCTTATCACCGCTCGCTGCAATTGTTGCAAAGTACTGGATGACACGCTTTGTGTTCACAGTCTTCCCTGCACCAGATTCTCCGCTGTCAAACCAAAGACAGAAGCAGAGAGCGTGTGGTCAGGCTGGAGGTCCCCTGGCACGGGGCAGCCCAGCGGGGACCCGAGCAGGGAGTGTACATACGTGATCAGGATCGACTGGTTCTCGCGATCTGTGAAGGAGGTGGAAACAAATAGACTTTGTAAATGAAGAACACAAAAAGACTGAAAATTAATGCAGTAAATGTAAGTTATGACAAGAAAAAAATTCTGCATGTTTTTTTCCCTTTGTTTACTCCTAATAATTTTTTTTTAAAGTTTCAATTCCTTGCAAATCAAATTGCCCCACATTCTTACCTCTGAAGATACCCACAACTGTCTTGCCTCTAAATTTTAGAGAGATATGGATTTGATAAGTGGGCTGTTAGATGGTTAAGGGATTAGGTGGATGGCAGTATCCAAAGAGTTACAGCCAAAGGCTCAATGTGCAAATGATTAATGAGTCGTGTGTCTCAAGGATTTGTGCTGGGACCAATACTATTTAATACCTCCACTAATAACATACATAGTGGGACTGAGCGCACCATCAGCAAGTTTGCAGATGACACCAAGCTGAATGGTGCATTTGATACACCACTGGGAAAGTACACCATCCACAGGGACCTTGACAGGCTTGAGGAGTGGCCCATGGAAACATCACGAAGTTCAATAAGGCCAAGTGCAAAGTCCTGCACCTGGGTTGGGGCAATCCCCAATATCAGTGCAGACTGGGGGTTGATAGGCTTGAGAGCAGCCCGGCAGAGAAGGACTTGAGTGTACTGGTGGATGCAAAGTTGGATATGGGCTGGCAATGTGCAGTTACAGCCCAGAAAGCCAATCAGGTACTGGGCTGCATGAAAAGTTGCATGGCCAGCAAGGCAAAGCAGGTGATTCTGCCCCTCCACTCCACTCTTGTGAGACCCGACCTGGAATACTTCCTCCACCTCTGGGGTCTCCAGTACAAGAAAGACATGGACCTGTTACGCAGGTCCAGAGGAGGGCCGTGAAAATGATCTGAGGTCTGGAACACTTCTCCTATGAAGAAAGGCTGAGACAGTTGGGGTTGTTCAGCCTGGAGAAGAGAAGGCTCCAGGGACACATTATTGTGGCCTTTCAATACTTAAAGGGGCCTTATAAGAAAGGCAGAGAAAGACTTTTTACCAGGGCCTGTAGTGACAGGACAAGGAGCAACAGTTTTAAACTGAAAAAAAGGGTAGATTTAGATTGGATATAAAGAAGAAATGTTTTATGATGAAGGTGGTGAGCCAATGGAGCACATTGCCTAGAAAAGTTGTGAATGTCCCATCATTAGAAGTGATCCAGGTCAGGCTGGACAGAGCTTTGAGCAACCGAATCTAGTGGAAGATGTCCCTCCCAATGCCAGAGGGAAGGACAACATGATTTTTAAAGGGCCCTTCCAGCCCCAACCATTCTACGATTCTATAATGCTTTTCTATGAACATTGAAAACCCTTGAATGACCATATCCTTCTTCCTTACTGCACTCTATGGTCTTTTTTATCCTGCATACAGTAAATTGTTTCTGGTTTTGGTGGTTTTGTTTGTTGTTTTTTTTAAAAATTTTTCTGCTACACAGACTGTGTTTAGATCAGAAGTAGAGAAAGGGATAGTAAGGACCCACGACAAAGGAATCCTGAGCATGGGTAATAGTTCTGAACTCAGTGGCACAGAGAAAGAAAGGAATGAAAAGTTAGAAGCAAAACTAGCAGCAATATATAATTCTATTTCATTTTTTCACATCATGGTTTTATCGAGACAAATCTGAATATCTGTGATATTGATGTTTCCTGTAGCCCTTCGACAAACTAACTTCACATTGTTAGGCAGAATTTTCACATCACATATGGATTTCGTACCTTGTTCACGTTCACCATTTCATTACAGACATAATTACATCCCTTGCTCCACCTAGTCTATTTGGCTTGTTGTTTTTCCTGACGCACTAACTATCTGTGGTACTATACGTCCTTTTTAGAAATACTGATGTGAAAAAACCCTGTTTAAATCAGCAGTGATTAATGCTATGACTGAAATAAAACTCTAATGATGTGTTAAGAAAATATCAGCATATTAATCAGGGAAACTGATTACTTCTAAAATGTCTTTTTGATGGAATCACTGTGACAGCCACTCACCAGTCAGCATGAACTGATAGGCATTGTCAGAGATGGAGAAGATGTGTGAAGGGGCCTCCTGGCACTTCTTGCCTCGGTAGGCCAACACCACCTCCGGGTTGTACACCGGCAGCCACTTGTAGGGGTTGACAGAGACGCAGAAGAGACCCGAGTAGGTCTGCGAGGAAGGGAGACAGCATGTTGGCTTCCACTTAGCCTGGCAGAGCAGTTCCTCCTAGCTACCCAGAGGAAGTCTGCTGCTGCTACTTACGTAGATCATCCAGGCTGCATAACGCTCTTTGAGGTTGTACAGCACAGCAGGTTCATGGAGGTGGGTCATCATGGCCATGTCCTCAATTTTATCGTACTTGGGAGGGTTCATGGAGAAGATTTGATCTTCTTTCACGGTCAGGCTCTGTTAGAGGAAAGAAAGGTACATGCATGTCAGCTAAGAGCCCAGAGTGGGAATTAAACGCTGTTTGTAAATCTTGCATTTTCCTCACCTCTCCACCTTCAGTCTTGACAGTGATCTTCCCTGATTCTTTGCTCTGGATTGTACCTTTCACATAGGATTCTTTAGGATGGGACACAAAGACAGATGTCTTGGCATCGAAAGGCTTGTTCTGGGCCTCAATTCTCTCCTTTTCTGACTTTCGGAGGTAAGGAGCCGCCTCTCCAAAGATGGCCATCTCGGCGTCCGATGACATGGCTGCAGTTTATGGAGTGCAGCACAGCACAGGGCTGAAGTGGAAAGACACACTACAGTGCTAAGTGCAGGAAGGAATTCCTTTGTACCACACACCTAACTCTCTATAGTGTTCTGCTCTACCTATTATTTTAGTCTTCCTCTCTGTCTTATCTGCTTTTCACCCTAGGTAACCTTTAATTTATTTAGGTCCTAAAGAAGATAGGTGTCTTTGATTTAGATTATTTTAACTTTCTCTCTCTTATTCCAGTTTACATGTTCCGTTCTTTAGATCTAGTAGTGTTTTAGTAGGCTATACAGAAAAATTGGATTGATTGGCACAATATAAAAATTTTCTATATGAAGCAGCAGAGATAGCAAGGGAAGCCATCAAAATTACAAAAGCCCACTTACATCCTTTCTCTTTTGCACATTTTAACCATGTAATTTGTATCAACTGTAGAGAAGGAGCAACATAAGAAAAAAGGAGTGGAGTAAGAAGTACAGGTGTGAATTGTCTATGCTAAGATTTTTCCTCAGTTAGAAATAAGTTTAGCTTCTCCAGTTGTTCTCCCTTTTCAAGTTCAAGCTGATCCTTTAAAATTAACTTTTACCAAAAGAGGAAATCTTCTCAATAAAAAACACTTGGAGGGATTTGACAAAATCTTAACTATATATGTGCTGCTCATTCACCTTCTTTTTCCTGGATTTCTGTTTACAGGCAATCTCCTGTTAACAGTTCTGTGTGGTAAGAGATCAACTATTTCCCAGCAGGTACCAAACAAATGTGTCCAATCCAGTTATGAAAGGGAATTTGCTGGTTTAGACAGTACAGCTCGAGTAGAATTGCACTGCATTAGTATGTATGGATTTGAAGGGATATGGGAAGTGCCCGTACAGCTGCATAAAAAGACCATCTTGGAGAGTCTATTCCTATGGAGTAGGTAAATCAGAGTCTTACCTCTTCTGATATCAGCTGGCTTTCAGGACGGAAGCTGGTCAATACTGAAAAACAGAAATGACAGCTTCCTTCATATTTTTGCACAGAATTCCAAGGACAAGTCACAGGGCAAAAAAATGCCAGTGACTTGAAAGCAGAAAGAAAATCTGTTGATACAGACAGTTCTTTGAGGAAAGCATTTCCACAAGTAGCAGGAATGCAGTGGGATTTTGCCAGCACCCAGCCCTCCATACTCTTACCTTGAAGCTTTCCGTGAAGACAGAACAGACTTGTCCTACCAGCACTTTTATAGGTTCTGGTTTGCACATACAACTCCCTCCTCTTCTTTCTTAGGTCAAAAAAATTTTGGCAAAGCATTGTTTGGCAAACTTGACTGACTGCATGATTCCCATTCATGCTTGTGGATATATTTAGAAATATTTGAAGTCTTACTAGCTATGTGAATAAATCTCCTATAAATATTTTGACTAGGAATCTGAAAGGAGGAAGTGCTGTCCAGCAAATTGAGCAGGACACTGGGACTTGGAATTGTTGGCTTCTCTCCTCCTGACTCTGAATTTCTGCTTGACATATAAGATTTGTGTGCCTCAGGACTCAGCAGTACTGAGAAGGATTACTATTACAAAGAGCTTTGGGGAGACTCTATTCTGAAATATTCTGGAAATAAAGAATAGGAACAATCTAGTATACTCTAGTATAGTATATTAATTCCAAAAGTTTGGACAACAATATTGTGCTTGTGTTACTGCACCTATTTACAACTCCTTAGCTTTTTGCTGGCTATTTTAAAAAGATCAGAGAAGACTGTTTACCACCCTTGATTCATACATTTAATTACATCTTTTACATTCTTCTGAAGTATTGCCAATTGGCTGCAATTTGAAACTGGCTTTTAAAGGTATTGTTTTGCTGTTCTCTACATCTGACTGTGCTGGTTGCTTGATGTATGTCTAGCAGAAGTTTTGGTAAGGTCAGATTAGCAGTGATTACTGGCATTTTGTGTCTTTCATTGTTTAGGCAGTTTTAACTCACCAATTTGCTGCTATTGTAGAGACCTTGGACAGTGGCTATGGTTACCAAATGCAAGAATGGGGGTTAGATCACAAACATACCTCCTCCATCCTTCATAAGCACAAACACAATCTCCACAGAAATTTAGAGAACTCCTGGGAGGCTCTGGGTCTTAACATGTCTAACCTGTGAAAGTAGACACAACTTCCCCCCCCCCCCCCCCCTCTTCGTTACC